ACCTATCGGACAAATTTCAAGGGTTTTATTCCCAAAAATCAACAGAAATAACTGATTAGGAAAACGCCTATTGAATAAATAATTCTGTAAAATACAGGTTGTTCTCAATTTAATGACCAATTTCATCTTTGAAACAGTTAGTTTTTCAAATGTGACACCCGGCATCTATTTAATGATCGATGCAAATATCCTGAAAAATGAAAAATTCGTCCGATAGTTATTCTCACACGTTTAGGGCGTTGTGGACGAATGCACCATCCTGTTGAAACCAACATTTTCCCACTTTTGTTTTTTTTGGGCCATACATTCGTAATAAAAAATGCTACTCAATACAGTATGTACTTTTTTTGTGGGTCTTATAAAAAAAATAAAATTGATGACTTCTCCAAAACGAAACGTTATATTGAAAATCTCTCAACGGTGTCTTCTAGATCTCATAAAGTCGCAGGGACAAAGTGGTTTTGATTTTTTTGTACCTGTCCAAATAACATCAGAAAAAAATAATAGCGAGCTTTGTAAATTTCTGTTTTTCTGGTGTGTCTTCGGAAGTAATCAAAATTTTCTGGATTTTTTAAAGCATGACAATAACACTTTAATTGCGAATCTTTTCTCTAATTTGACCATCGTCGTATCTTCTATGGTTTCGGAGATCCCCATGAATCATTTATCTTGGACACAGTATAGGTACACAGTGCATTTGAAAAACAAACTCTTTCAATCTTGAAAATGATGAAATTGATCATTACATTTTGGACACTCTGTATGCGATAAATCAATTGTCAATGTGGATTTAGAAAGTATCCTTCCCTGCGCTTCCGTCTACTACCCCCAAAGCGCTTACTACCAGCCGCACTTTTGACAATAAAACTAGGTACATATCTTTCAAAATTAAAAAAAATCATATCTAAACAAGTATACATTGTGCACAACTCTTGGGCAGATAAAGCGCATTTTAATCCGAAATCGCTTTTGTTTTGACATCACCAATGTATATATTTCTTGCAGACGTCTCAATCTCCCTTTGTGAGTACCCTCTTCCGACAATCCGTTCTTGAGGTATAAGGGAATATACCTGATCACGATAAGAGGTCGAGGAGGAGGGCTATGGGTGGTAGAAATTAATTCATTTCGTTGAGACGTTTCATTAGAGTACCATGAAGGATAAAACTAGTTCCACTCCCACCCCTCCCCCTCCACCCCGTACTTTGATGAGAGGACAGAAAGAAGGGCCTTTAATTAGAATACAATGAGACATAAAATTAATTTTTAACCCCCCCCCCCCTCCAGACCCCGTCGCTCACTGATCTCGGAAAAGAGTCGCACGGGAAAAATTTTACAGTTTGTACAAGCCAAATTATTTCGATGAGGCCTTTCATTAGAATACCATGAAGGGTAGAACAGTAGTTACCCCCCCCCCCCCCCCAATTTTCTAAAGTTTAACTTGGCACCATTAAAGGCATGCGTATGCGAAAATCTGAGACCAATTGGTTGTCGTATGTAAAAGTTATGCACTCTTTCAAAAACAACATCTCAGGAAATAATTCGTGGGGGGGGGGGGCTTTTAGACAGCGAAATTTGATGGCCGACTAGCACACCTTCAAGGTATAGGCGACCTACTGCAAAAAATTCCAGGACTCTAGGACCATTCCCCTAGAAGTAGTTCGAAACGGCAGAAGTGGATCCGGACGGACAGACGGACAAAACGCAAACAATAGCACATTTTTTTTAATTCTTAAAAAAATACGCTAAAAACAGTTGACAGTCTTGCCGATAGCCGGCATTCGTCGCGGGTCACAGAATTTGCATACAATCTTCAGAATAATTGCTGTACCTGTACCTAAATGTTGGATTTTCATGGACTGATCTTGCAACCTTTGTTGTAGAGTGGCCTTGGAATCATCTCGGAAGCAAGAAAAAATATTGCCTACTGAAAAATGAGACAGTTATAATAAATGCCTTGTGGTGTGCCTGTACAAATAGTAAGTCATACTGGATTTACGGCCCAGTGGTAAACGCCAAAGTAATTGAAAATAATATGCGTGATTTTTGTGTAAAGCGCAGTAAATGAATGAGTGATGTTTGGCAAGAGCAAACACGTCATAATTACATGTGGTCAAGCGTAATTAATTCTGTATTTATATGCAATTAGTTGAATTAGTAGGATCGAAATTGGCCTTGAAATTTTGTTCAATTGTCAACACAGTTTTGCCGCGTCCGTCGCCATCTAGCGGCACCGCCACTAGTCAGAACTACACGACATCCTATATGCCTAATGTACACTGCCAAAATGTTAACGCAATCAAAATAGCCAAATTGTTAGTTTTTTAACTGACATTTTTTCTTCTCTTTTTTGTGCTAAAACCTAGCGTAATTTTTGTACACACAAATAGAAAATTCTTTCGAATAAATTAATAAAAATGTTGAGTTATTTGAAAAATAAAAGTTGGAAAAAGGAATTCATTCTTTAAAAGTTGGTTAAAAAAGTGACAGAAAACGTAATTAATTTTGGATTATTAAAAAAAATGCCACACCAAACAGACCCTCTGTGAAAAATTCGAATTTTCGTTAATTTTGCAATATAGGATTTTTGAGCTTTTTAAGAAAGAAAGCTAAAAGAAATCGAACCTCGTTGAAACTTAACTTAAATTTGTGTTTGGAATGTAGGACCAATGTGCAACTACAAGGAATTTTTTTAAAATTTCTGTCAAAATTAGAATTTTCGTTTCTTTGGCAATATGCGACTTTTGGGTTTTATAAAAAAATCGGAAAGGAATGGAACAACTTGAGAAATTTGTGTTGGATGTAGGACTAATGTGTACCTACAAGCATTATTTTATAAACATTTTTTTGTTTTTAGAAAGACATTTTTGGGATTTCAGAAAAAATTAAAAAAATTGACCCTCCACAAAACAAGTTATTTGTGTTTGGAATGGACTTGGCTTTGTTTTATAAAAAAAACTTCTCTGTTGAAATTTCACTTTTTTGAAGGACACTGCAAAGATTTTGATTTGACATATCGAGTCATAACTCTCAAGGAACGAACGTTAATGCAAAATACTCGCTTTGCACATGTAAAATCAACGCTATCCGATTGATACCGTTCGACATCGTGTAATATTTTCGGAGAGCTCGAAAAGCGTCAGAAAAACGATTTTTTTAAAGAAATTCGATTCGATTTTTGGGCTTTCTAATAAAACAAAACTAAAACAAATGGAACCTCCGCGAAACGCAAGACTTGCATCTAATTTCCACAGGTCTGCTTTCTGGAAGATTTCGCGTAGTGGATTTTTACCCTGGGATGCCCCGATTTTGGCTGAATATCTTCGTGGTAGAAATTCTCCAAAAAGACAAATTTAAAGATGTCCCGTGAAAATAATTGCGGGCTGATGAAAACAACTAGCTTATTATCGTCATTAATGGAAGGCTGTACAATTTCGTCGATGGAGCTGATGTATGTCTTTGTGTTTTGGATGTAGAACCAGTTTGTACCCACAAGTATTTTTAATTTTTTATTTTGGAATAGTTACATATGTGATTTTTGACCTAAAAAAATGGACCCCACACGAAACTGAAACAATTTGTACCTACACGCATTTTTTGTAAAAATTCGAATTTTCATTTATTTTGGAATAGGTATGCGATTTTTGAACTTTCTGAAAAAAATGTAAAATCCGAAAACACGAAACTCGTGTTTGTTGTTTTATACCTACTAACAAACACGCTTTTTTTGTAAAAAAAAATTCTGGACTTTCTCAAAAAATGTGTTTTTATTATTTATTTATTTTTTGGCTTTTATTTTTAAGTGGGCGGGGTTTCATGGCTGTGATGGCGATGATTTCCAATGTATTTCGTTTTTGTCCTCAAACTCATTCCGTAAAAATCCAATATGGCGTCCATAAGCAATAACTACTGTAGCTTCTACATCTAGCGTGTTATGAAAATTCAGATAACAGATTCAAATTCTCGGAAAGAAGTGCTCATGTGCTTCCGAGCGTTTAAGCTGGGGAAAATGAAAACGAAATTTGACATTTTCAGTGATATTTAATCAGGGCAACTTTGCTACCATTTAACCTACACTGTATCTTACCGTTACGGTGATCCCAATGGCGAGCCAAAAATTTGAACCACCTTGTACAAATTAGTCATTAATTGGTCCTAAACTATCGTTGACTTCATTTTAAATTCGAGACAAGTGAGAATGCAACTTTATCGACATAGGGATGGGGTTCCTGGGTGGTACCTACAATGCGATCAAAAATGAGTTGCTGTTGAGTCACCTTTGGAATTTTTGTTTACATGGGAAATTGTACTTAACTTGAACTTCCAAAGGCGACTCGACAGCAACCAGCAACTCATTTTTGATTGCCCGTTATTCGTGTAACAGTTTCGGCTAAAACCCTTGGTCTGTCTACCTACAACTGTACAAATGCACGTTCATTTTCACTGGAATCATATACAAAAAACCGAAAGCGAAAAATAAAACATGACAAAATTTATTATACAAAATTTGGTGTTGTGTACGAGGAAATTAGCTTGCGAATCGCGCCTCACTACACAATGATAAGAATCGCTTAGAATTTGCATAGAAAGTTGAAATTTTCATGGAATCTTCTTCTTGCAATTTAGAATCAGGTCGGGAAGTATAAAAATATCTAACAAAAAGTAAGTCATACTGGATTAAGACATTCAGCCCCAAGAGCGTTTTAGCACAGGGGAAAACTTCGACTTAGCCCCCCTGTTCAGTCCAAGCCTGGACTGGCGCACGCCACTGTTACCGTAGTTATGGGTGTAAAGTGCAGTATAGAATGAACGATGTTTGAATTTGACAAAAGAAAACCTGCCATAATTACTGACGCGCCAAGCGTAATTAATTCTGTATTTGTTTGCGATTAGTAAGACCGAAATTGGCCTTGTAATTGTTCACTTGTCATTGGCGGTTTTGCCGCGTCATCTAGCGGGAGCGTTAAGTAACGAACAACTTTTGCTAGTCGTAGTAGAGTAGAGAGAGAAACGCGGTTTGTTGTGCGTAGTAGCGCCACGAGTACAGATCAAAGAACATGGCGACGTTGACAGCTGCACTTTTACAACGTATCGAGAAAAATATACCGAGAAGCAAGCGAAAATTGCAAAAGCATTTACGTAGTGCAGGGCTGGCGTACATATCAAGAACGGGTAAATTAATCCCAGCGAAAAAAGTTGCGGGTAAGCATTGATTACTCTTCTGTTTACATTGTTGACAGTTCATCAACGTTCCCTCGCATGTCGCCTTTTTTTTGTTTTTTAATCAACGGCCTACTTTTTAAATTCACACACCCATCGTAGCGCGCCCTTCACTTTTTTTCCGTTTGAATATCTCTCTAAGGCCCTCGACCTTCCGTATGTAGGTCATACAAATTAAATCCCAAGAAAACATTGGCCTTGCGTAGTAGGCACGTGTTGAAAAACATGTTTCGCCTTCGGCCTTTTATGAAAAATTTCGCGCAATAAGCGACGTGACGTAGCGGCCTTTTCGGAAAAACCGCGCCGCAAAGTTCCCTAATATCGAATTTTTCTATAAATAAAAGCGTTTCAAGGCTACCCAGAGTTTGTGTGTTACAATCAAATTATGACCTTATTTATCTTTTTTAGACAAGGAACGTGTTTATTACTCATTAGGTTTTTTCCTTGCAATACGCGCGCTCCTATGCGTGGTTTTCGAAGTGAGCTGTAATTGCCGGATGTTGATTTCACAACGGCTGACGTCACGGCAAAAAAACCGTCCTAAGGTAAACACCTGGGAAAGTGGGTGCCTTTGGTGCGTGACGTTCTTCCTCCTACACCCCTTTCACCAGTGCCGGCTTGAGGATTCGGGGGGCTAACTAAAAGCCCCCCCCCTTGCCGAAATACATGCATAAAATTCGGTATCGATGTTAATTATAGCTAATTTTTCGAGTAGAAAACTATTCATAAATCCCAAGTGCCGAAAGACTTCATTTTCATTTGAATTTCAGACGAGCTATGCCAATGTCCCCAGAAATGCGACGAACGCATCCCGACCGAGCTAAGAGAGCGACTGTTTGCGCAATTCTACGGCCTGGGCGACCCCGATAAGCAGAACAAGTTCCTGCGGGAGCACATGGACATACGCGCACGGCTGAACGTGCCCGAGCTGACGCTGAACGGCAGAGCGCCGCGACGTATCACCTGCAAGTACTTAGTTCCGTTGTTACCGTCGTCGGAGGTCGTCGAGGTGTGCCAGAAAGCCTTCGTGAGCGCCTTCGTCATCACGACGAAACGCGTCCGACTACAAAGGGAGAAGCTTATAAGCAGTCTAGGACTGAACAGCTACAGTCACACGCGCTCAACGAAAACCTCCTCGCCTTCAGAGAACCAAAGTGAAACTCTATGTATACCTCCAGAATGTGATATCTCGAGATCTGTGGACGCCCAGATGCCTTCTACCAACCACACACATCTTCGATCGCAACCGAAAAGGCTCGTCGACGATCCCCTCATACCGTTCGGGCTTCTACTGCCCGAGGGCATAACGATCGCGCCGGTAACGGCATCGCCCGATCACGATAGAGACATTGCGATAGTCAATAACTTCTTTTCGAATCAACTATGGAAACCAGAATATATTGGTACTTATTCTTAATGTCTTCGGGCGTCGGACGCCTTAATGTTGGTACTTAGTCTAATTTTTGAATTTTTACCTAAGGAAGGACGTTATACGTACTGTTATTTATATTTATACTGAATAGTTTATTATCGAAATGAGAATATGAAATATATATTTTATTGTTTTTAAAATAAAATGTTTTTAATTATGTATATTGTTGATTTAGATCTTAGGTAGGATCACAAATTAGTATTAGGCTTTTAATAAGAGAGTTGCACCAATTTTTTTGTTCGAAAATTTATTCAAAATACAAATTTTAATTTTTTCCCACGCATTTTTATTTAGTTTGCTTGCAATTTAGTCGCTCACGAATAAGTGCCAGAAGACAATCAAAACATTGCTACTAGAAGTCTAGAACGGTAGTGCTACCTTGTATACCAGCATTTTGAGTGTTTCTTCTAAATGCATCCCTATTGGTGGGTTTAGACCGCTTTCTTTAGAGGTTTGAACAATGATGAGGATTAAATCCTAAGGAATCTGACCAGGGTCAAAGAATTCAAAAAACATTAATAGTCTGAGGAAGCCCTAATTGAAGAATCCAAAGAGAACAATTGAGACAATTCAAATAAACAGCAGAATTTGAATGATATCAAAATTAACCCCGCAAGAATTTATTAAGAACCCAAAAAAACCCAGAAGAATTCATAGAATCAAGGTTCTGAAGATCTTATGGATGCGAAGAAAATTAAAACTACAGCGAATTTAAAGAAACTAATAATACGAAGAATATGACGAATCTGAATAGTCCAAAAAATTAGAATAAAAGAAATACAAGAATTTGCAGGTAATGAGTTTCTAAAGAAAGGGTTTGCATGCATCACGATAAGAGGTCGAGGAGGAGGGCTATGGTTGTAGAAATTAATTCCTCGTTGAGACCTTTCATTAGAGTACCATGAAGGATAAAACTAGTTACCCCCCCCCCCCCTCGTACTTTGATAAGAGAACAGAAAGAAGGGCAGTAGTTGGTAGAAAAAGGTGCTTTTCGTTGAGACCTTTAATCAGAATACAATGAGATAAAATTAGTTTTTACCCCCCCCCCCTCAGGCCCCGTCGCTCACTGATCTCGAAAAAGAACCGCACGGGAAAGTTATAGTTTGTACAAACCAATTTATTTCGATGCGATCTTGCATTAGAATACCATGAAGGGTAGAACTAAAGTCACTAAATATAGAAAGTACCGCAATCCATTGGGCTCGTGTGTTAGAGTGAGAACGCATGATTTTTGCCCAAAAATGGCAGAAGTTACCAGATTCTAGTAACTTTAATGTTAGGGATTGTTCCACCTGTTTGGAGATATCTGTATATATTTTTATAAAACATGACAGTAATATGAAGTTAGGTTATAAAAAATTACAGTTATTCAGATTTTGTTGTTTTTGTTGTTTTCGAGTTTAATTTTATACAGTTTAGGCTTCTCAAAATGCACAAACGAACGATAAAAAACGTTAATTGAAAGAGAGATTACATTAATTAGAAATTTGATGACCATTCCTGTACCATTTCTTCAGAAATTTTAGGATGATTTAAATTAGTTTCAGAATTTGTAAAAAATGTTCGGGTTTAATTTTATCGCAAAAGATAAACGAGTTTTTAACGAAATTGTTTAGTCATTCATTGACGTTCTTACACATACAATCGAATACCTGGGAAATCGGGTCAATTTGTGGCTATTATTATTATTATTGCAAATAAAAACTAGTGTAAGTATTGAAGGAACACGGTCAACTCGCCACTGCGACAATTCACCACCGAAATATTTTTTTAGCGCATGTCCACAAAAATAAAAAAAATGAGCTATTGTGGCCACTTTGTCCGTCCGTCCGTCTGTCCGCTCGTTCGTTGAGACGCTACTAGTTCTTTATCTTAAGAGCTATTGTTCTACTTTTTTCGCTATATGGTTCGTTATGGTGTCGAGGCTTGCACCAAGGAAGGAATTTTTTCTGCGTTTATTGCTAAAAAAGTTTTTGTAAAAAAAAACATTTTTTACATGCTCCATAATTTTACACTTTTGCCGTTTATTAACGATCCTAGAGATCGTTTATAATTTTGTATTGCTGTCTGTCGTATGTCTGTTGGTCTGTCCGTCTGTTCCTTTGTCAGTCTCTCCCTCTATCTGTCCGTGTGAACGATAAGTTTGTTTAGAAATGTCCGATCGCTTTGACATCTCCGTTTTATTAACTGAATTGCATGAAATTCAATATGGGGATAGCTTTACGCAATGTCAATCGATTCAAAATTCACAGTGCCCTTTCGCATCTCGACCATTTATAAACCAAACTGCAAACTTTTTTATTTATAAAAGTGTTTAAATGAAATTTGATACATAGGCACTTGGAATAAATGAAAATCTAACGCCAGTTTCAAAATTTGGTTTTGCGCATGCGCAGTGTCAACTTTTTTATTTATGGAAGAATTTAAACGAAATTTGATACATAGGCACTTGGAATAAAGGGAAATCTAACGCCAGTTTCAAAATTTGGTTTTGCGCCTGCGCAGTGTCAACTTTTTTTATTTATGGAAGCATTTAAGGAACAAAGGAAAATCTAACATTAGTTTCAAAATTTAGGTTTGCGCATCGCAGTTCCAACTTTCTTATTTAGAAAAGCATTGAAATGAAATTCTTCTTATAAACTGAAATTAATAGTAATAATAATAATAAATGTCTTTATTCAATAGGAATGGGCGAGGTTCAGCAATGACATGTATGCCATGTGCTGCTCTTCCACCTAACCCGATATAACATATAGACATTAATATTGATATGGCCACAGATAAAAGATATACATGTAAAAAATTAAAGAAAGAATATCTTCAGTGAACACCAAGGTACATACATAATTATTTATATACATATAGGTACACGTTTCATACACGCATAATCATATAGATATATTCGAGGATATATTATTGGGATTAATGGGACAAGAAAAACAAGCAAAGATTCAACTGAAAGGAGCAATTAAGTGCTTAAAAATTAATTTTTATATAAGAAATGCATTCTCAGCCTTTTTTAAAAGTTAACTTGGTTTTTGGAGTTTTTTCCATGGAAAATCTTATGTGGAACTGATGCCTACCCAAAAACAAAACACCCTGTCGACTGTATACCAGGAATTGTTTGTAGTTTACTTGACTGTTCACCTACTTTTGGAAGTGTCTCGACCCTCGAATGTCACTATAACAGCAGACTGCAATTGTCGAAGCAATTGGTATAATCAAGTGACCTGTTCGTTTTTCGAAATTTCCATTAAAGCACATGTCACCTAAATTTACTAAATTTATTAAACGTGACTAAAAAGTTTGAATTCGTGATTTTAAAAAATCAATGCACAACGCGTTTTGTGGTTATGTCCCGAGCAGGAATGACCCAGTAAAGGGATGAATGCGAAAAGGCGCAAGTGCGACGAAATTTAAAATTTTTCGCGTACTTCCCGAAAGAGAGGTTCTAATTACATGCGGTCATGCAAGATGAGGTACGGTGCTAGGGCAATAAAAATAAATAAAACAGAAACTCACCACTGACAACGTTAGCATCATCGTCAGCGAGTCCCACTTCCCGAAGATCATCCAAACGCGACCTTCGCTTAGAGATACTGATGGAATTGACGAGGGCGCCCGAATGCAGGTCGCCTAGCGACGCAAAGGGCGGCAAGATGTGTGCGTGACGTCACGGGAAAGCGTGTTACGCAGGGGTGCGGAAATATCGACGTCGTTTCTAGGTTGCGAGATTATTTAATGGCGCGCGGTATCCGAGGTCAGTTTGGCGACGTTTTCTTTCGCGCTACTTTCACGATTTACCTACCCTTAGCAAGGTCTTTATCGACTTTAACACAGTGGCGCCACCCCTCGAGCTATTCTTAACATGGAAAAGTTTTTACAACATACATGTTAACCAATCAACACAAGTACTCATCTCCGAAACGTTTTCAAAACTTCCTCGAAAGCTTCCTACACATTTTGAGCCCTTAAAAACTATGTAAACCGATACAATAAAATAGAAGGATTCGACAGGTAACTTTTTAAAAACGACTTGAAAGTTAAAATACAGGGTGTCCCCCGAAAAGGAGGACGGTTATATCGGAAGTTGATGCCAACTAAAAATTGAATGGAATCGTTAAAAATAAGGTTTTTTAAAATGAAAACCACGTATTTTATACTGAATATACAGGATGTCCCATTTTCGACACTTTGTAATTGTTAATGCCATCAAAAAAATAATATAAGCGTCATGTGCTCTTTTTGGGACAAACTTAAACAATTCACTCGTTTAAGAGATAGGGGGAAAAATCAAAATAAATGACAATTTCAAAATGGACCTATATTTCCTTACTTACATAGACATAGAGAAAAATGTTTGTTACTTGCAAAAAAAAGCAAAAAGTAATCCGACCCAACCTCATTTTTGTAAATGGGCTACCCTGTATATTTTAATCTAGCTAGATAACATTTAACTCATTTTTCAAAAATGTAACAGGAAAAAAATTTCATATTCATTCAAAATGACCCAAAATTTAAAAAAATTGAATTTTTTTTGTTTTTTGAACCTTTTTCAGTTTTTTTAAATATTGTTTTAATCCATGAATCCTTTTTTATTTTGTTGAATTTTTTTGAATATCATCCTTGCAGTATCATTTTAAAGAGAATTTAATATGATCTAATTAAAATATTCAGTGTGCAATTTAAAAATGAGGTTAGGTCGGATTACTTTTTTACCTAGCCCCGTATACTTATTTTGGAAACGGTAGATTATTCGGCAATCATTATAAAGTAACTTGAACTTTGAACTGAGGAAATACAGGGTAATTCTTAAATTGATAATTTCTTTATTTTCCCCCGTATCTCTTGAAGAGAGCAAATATTTTCAAATTTTGATTTTAGCATTTTAAGTTCCACCCAAAAAGAGCAGATGACGCCCATTGACACCCTAGAAAAGAGTTTAATTTTTTCGCAGTTTTAATCGGAAATTAAAATGTTTTTTGACAATCTTTGGGATCAAAATCAAAATTATATTAACATTTCATTTCGTGGTGTCGAATTCCTTGATCTTCCATATTTTACCTATCCTTGCCATTTTCGATTGTTAGATCAAATTTGACCCTCAAAGTCGGACGAAACAAAGGAATTTAATACGAAGGTTAAGAATTTGAAAACATACAACATTTTGAAGTATCAAAATATTTTTTTGCAGTTTTCGGGGGTCAAAACATTTTTGCGCAATTGTTTAGCGTAAAACCTCTTTCAAGGATCAAGACAGGGCCGGCTCAAGCCAAAAATTACGTGTAAGCAGGTGCTAAAATTTGCGCCCTTAGAAACTTTTGGAAAGCGGATTTTTTCAAACATAGAGATTCATATAACGTACAAGTTGGGATTTAATACGAAAATTAAAAATCTGAGACCTTAATTGAAATGTTGTAGTATCAAACTTAATTTTTGTTGGTTATGTCGAAATTATGCGCTTTTTGCGCCTGTGAAACGAATTTTGTGTCATTAGATATACATGACACCTGTCCAAAATTTGACAACTTTCCGATGCCGGTAACATAAAAAAAATGAAATTTTTCTCAAGTGTGGATTGTGCGCTTTCTTGTGCCCTTGAATTATTTTAAGAAGTAGATTGATTCACCAACTTCCCGAAGCCGAGGATTTTTTCAAAAATAATGTATGCTGGTTATGTCGAAATTATGCAATAGCGCCGGTGAAATAAACTTTTGTATCATTAGAGACATGAAACCTGTCCAAAATTTGACTGACTAAACTTTTCCGAAGCCGTCAGCTTAAAAAATGTTTAGGCGTGGATTGTGCGCCTTTTTGCGCCGTGGCAATGATATTTTGGTGTAGCCATGTATTTTTTTAAGTAAAGCCTGTTCAGTACTTCTTTACTAGCATTTTTGCGTTATTAGAACAAAATCTACAGAATAGGTCACAAATCAGTTTGTGCGCCATTCTATCCCGTTAAGGTGTGACAAGAATCAATTAATCTACAGGACACCCTGTATACAATGGTGCGGAATTCGACTGCTGTTACGCCGCTGGTGTGTGATTAAAGTAGGTCAAGGCTATTTAAGTTCACATTAATAATAAAAAGGAAAGTTTATCAATGTGGGCCGATAAGAAAAGAAATCAACTTCTTATGGATCAATTATTGTAACACCCTTGGTATAATGTAACACCCTATTTTGTATCGTTAACTCGGTGTGAAAAGGGTACCCTGTATACAATAAACAAACGGTTCATAAGTTGATTTGCGTAGTTGCCACTTTCAAGAATGCTTACAAATAGAAGACGGGACAGCTGTGAAAAGAACAACGTAACGTAACCTCAAACTTACCCTTTCCAGTCTTTGGAAATACTCTCGCAGAAATGAGATGGGATTAGAGGGACGGTTTACACATAATTGAACGATGCAATCCTTAAGGATCTGCTGAATATTGTGCGTTTGTACGTATGCTTCGCATTCCCTAATCGCCTGCTCCTCTTCCATGTTTGTTGTTGCCATTATAATACACTTATTATAAATCACAGCACGATTAATCGAAAAATGTCTACAAAGTGAGTCCTTAAAAAAAGTTAGAAACACTGAACACTTATTTTTTGTATCAAAATTTCGTTAGTATAGAAAAATTTTGACGTTTGCGAACTATTTTAAACGCCGATAAAACAGCGCGCGCGCGCCAACGCTTCCGCAAAATCACGTGAGAGAGCGCTTCCGCCCGTTTTTAACATACAGGATGTAACAATTAGCACGCGCACTATAAAGTAATCTTCTGAAGAGCTTCCCTCCGCCGATTACCAATCAATGAACCACGACGCGTACGTGACGCGCTTGGAGTAACGACGTTGATTAGAAGTGACGCCAAGGCTAAGCATATGTAGGCCTAAAACTCGTCAACAGATTGGGGACAAGCAGGAAAAAAATCGCTTCCTCCTAATTGCGGAGCGAAAATGGATAAAACTACATTCGCGAACGACTTCAAACGTTCCTTCCACCGTACCAAAATTGGTAATTGCGAACGTAAATTGCGAGATGAATTGCAGTTAATAGAATACAGCGCGAGTCAGTGCAGCAGTAGCGCGATAATTAGAAAAATTTTAACACGTATATCAAATTAGACAAGTAGGTTACGGGGTTTTGTGTCGTATAATTGACACCAGTAAAGAATATCTAGGTTGATTCATTCCCTTCAATTGATATAAATAAGGGCATCCACCTAAAGCGATAGTACAATTGCACTCGATACAAAGATCATGAGGTGGATCGTTCAGTGTTTGTTTCTGGTCGTTTTCGTTAACGTTTTCGCGTATCCCGTTGGTAATACAGATACGGTGAGTTGATTGTTTCTAATTATCTATAAGCGCGAATTGTCCAAAAAAAAAAAGGTTCTGGAAGCCATGGCGCAAGTTCCACAATGGCACTGTATGAGATATCGCAAGTTTGAGTTGATACGGAGATGCAGGGGGTACAAGAATGGCGCGCGAAAAAGTTGAGGGATCGCATTACGCCGCAAAGCCGAATTGATCTCATTTCCTTCCAGCGACCAGAAGATTTAGGTGTAGTCATGTATAATATTTTATTTTGTTAAATAAATTTCTAATTTAAGTGTGAGTTCGTTGATCTCGTCAACACGTTATTTACCAGACGCTTTTGCACGTAGGGAGGACGAGCACAATAATTGAGACAATTATTCGTAGGACCACCACTTAGCACATTAAAGAGGCCGCAAAAAATTGGGTTTTTTAGGCCTGTTTCTGCTGATGATGCGGTTGTGACAAGCAACACTTTTGCATGAGACGATCGATTTGCATCAAATTTTGGGCACGCGTACCTCTAGTAACTCGAGTAATACCCAATATCTACCTAATTTTTGTTGGAAATCTGATCCGCCATATTGAAAATTTATTTATAGGCCAATTTCTTTGGGAAAAAGGTCAAACTTATGGTTTTGATAGCCAAGAAACACTCATGTTTCACGATGTGGGCCTACATTTTGAGACAATGATGGTCAAAATCGTTATATATAGACTAATTTCCTTGGAGATACCAACGTGTTGGTTCCGATGGCCTCTAGAAGTAAAAATTGATGTTTATTGTTTCCCTATTTATCAGGAAAACTGGTATCATAAACGTATTTTGTTGTTTTCTTCCCCTCTCAGTCTTTCACTTTATTAACGAGATCGTTTATAATTTTGTATTGCTGTCTGTGTTTTTTAGCAAGGATGAAAGGGAAAGCTGATGACCTAACCCGTAGGATATATGGCTTTATTCTTTTAAGATAGTCATAGGTACTTCTCGACGATGACGGTGTCAACACCTAAGTTGCTCCTACGATGGAGCCGCATCGAATATGGAGAACGTCACCAGCCGTCCCCCGGGGCTTCGTCCACTCCTGTCGATAAGGTTCCCCGTATCCCCTTAAAAAGTCGCGGATCGAGCCCGATCTCTTGAAATTCTACTACTAAAGTAAAGTTCATTACACAATACGCTCATTGTTCCAGAAAATCCTGGTAGCCGGCCGCCACGGTCCATGCACTTCGGAGTCCAGGTACGCTTTTTGGAAGGTATATACCCTCTACTGACACCAGCGTCAATCGCTCTGCAACGATCACGTTTAGCCGGTGGCGGACGAGGCCTCTTGAGCGTATTCTCTACTCCACATCGATTGCCGTATCAACTGCCCCGAAGGCATTTACAGTCCCAGCGAACTACTGGCCGCTTTAAAGGGGAAAACCCTGGAGTCTAATGTCCCCCATGCCACGCATGTCGAGAGGGCTCCCTCTGTCAAATTTGATGAAATAGCAATCTATCTGTTTGTCGCAGTTGCTGAAGAACAGTGGCGTAACTGGATATTTTTCGAAGTGGTGCCGGTCAGAGCTGGGCAGTATTCGATTTTGTAAATACTTTTTAGTATTCAAATCCTTTAAAGTATTCAAATACTTTGTAATTAAATACTTTCATGGAAGCAGTATTTGTATTTGTAACTCAAATACTTTCATAAATATTTAGTATTCGAATACTTCGCAAAGTATTTGGATACTTCGTAAAGTATTCGAATACTTCGCATAGTATTTGAATACTTAACCTTCCTTTTTTACCAAAAATCGACTACACCAAAATTTCTAGGGAAAACACTTTTCTTATCAATTTTGGTGCGTAGAATCCAAAACAATTCGTACTTTTTCGATCAGACTTCTCAATCAAAAGCTATAGACCAATTTCGAAAAAAAATTCAAAGGGCTGTAACTTTTCAACTAGTAGTCCAATCTTGGAACTGTTTGAAATTATGGATTCTACATGCCACATTCTATAAGAAAATATTTTTCAGGGTCGATCTGAGACAATTTTTTTTTCGGGCCTCAAAAAAAGGCAGTGTATAACCTTCCTTTTTTACCAAAAATCAACTACACCAAAATTTCTCGGGAAAACATTTTTTCTTATTAATTTTGGTGGGTAGAATCCAAAACAATTCGTACTTTTTCGATTAGACTTCTCAATCAAAAGTTATAGACTAGAAACCAATTTCGAAAGAAAATTCAAAGGGCTGTAACCATGGCTGTAACTTTTGAACTAGTAGCCTAATCTTGGAACTATTTGAAATTATGGATTCTACACGCCACATTCTATAAGGAAATTTTTTTTTCGGGGCCATCTGAGACAATTTTTTTTTCGGGCCTCAAAAAAAGGCAGTGTATAACCTTCCTTTTTTACCAAAAATTGACTACACCAAAATTTCTCGGGAAAACACTTTTTCATATTAATTTTGGTGCGTAGAATCCAAAACAGTTCGTACTTTTTCGATTAGACTTCTCAATCAAAAGTTATGGACTAGAAACGAAAATTCAAAGAGCTGTAACTTTTGAATCAGTAGCCCAATCTTGGAACTGTTTGAAATTATGGATTCTACAGGCCACATTCTATAAGAAATTTATTTTTAAATTTTTAATATATTTGAGTGACAAGTATTTGAATACTTTTTACTGTATTCGAATACTTTTGAAAGTATTCGAACACATTCTAAAGTATTTGAATACTTATTTTTTAAATTATTTGAATACTTTTCAATGTATCTGTATGTAGTATTCGCTTGTGCTGGACGTAAAAGTATTTAGTATTCAAATACCTTTGATTTGTGTAAAATATTTACTATTTAGTATTCAAATACTTGTATTCTGCCCAGCTCTGGTGCCGGTAACTGTTAGTTAGATTTATAATTAATACTTTTGGCAAAAAAATTTGTAATCCACACAAACATTTTACAATAAATCCGTCATGGAAGAAACAACCTCTCTCAGCAATTAGAAAGCATGCGGGCGTTCCACAATAGCCAGATGGCATTTTACCGATCTACCTACAAGCCACCGCATAAATGGCAGTACTCGGCACTGATTGGCCACGCAACCGCGGACTGGTATTAGAGTCGAAATGTTCTGTGGTCAGTCAGCCGCAGTAAACATTTCAAAACGCACCTAAATCAGTAAAACTTTCTTTGGCACGTTTCAAATTCATCTTCATGAAGTGATAACAATTAAAATATAGTTTCACAAAGGCTAAATTTTAATTAATCATTTCGACAACGTTAAATGTAATTAAGTCGGTCTTCGGACCACGCCCCCCAACGGCGGCATTTGCGTCCCCAATAATTAGACCAATAAGTTTTGTGACATAAACAAAAGCGATATTAAAGTACGTATTCAATTACATCAATATAAATGAAACGCTATTACCTTATTCCATAGATTACATTTTATTCCACGTCTTTTTTACTAAGTTGCTCGTTTAAGTTGCACCTTTGTCAAGAGGTATGCTTGACTACCTACCGAACGCTTTCTTTATCAGTTAAATATCCATTTCGTTCATTTCTTACTTTTTGAAATTATAATAGATCGAGCCCAAGCATTTTTTGTTTTTACAAATTACGAAAATTTATAGCATCGAAATATCGCCCGTTTATGAGATTCATCCTAAAGGCTCGCAAATTTGTTTTGCACCCTGTACTGTAGTTGACTTTAGCAGACTATTCGAATTTAACTGCCGTTTTATTTTTGTTTAATGACTGGTCTATATCCCGTACTGCTTACCCGGACGTGGTGTCCTACAGCGGTGCCACATGGATCCTCCCGTCATGTGGTCGTTACCGTCCTCCGGTTCACACAACATACACCTTGGTTGAGCTTTGCAGTTTCTCTCCAGGTGACCAAAGCCCATACACTTAAACCACCTTTCTATCTGCTTGGTGGGTTTGGTGCCCAACCGACCCTGATTTTCCCTACCCGCCGTTTAATATTGATGCCATATAAATATGTCGTAGCCACTCGAAAGATAAAACCAAATAACTATATAATATCACCTTATCTGTTTATACCTTGAGATGTGTGAACGTTGGACGAGTTTCCGACAACGTGTTGGCATCCCAATCTCATAATGAGCATCAAACGAGTTCTTCAGTTTGTTTTGAGTCTAGTAACGCTCACAATAATTATCCAACTGGTATTATTTAGTAAGCGCTTGGCACTCGCGGTGTGGATTTATTAAACTGTATTGTTTCAGCCAATCTGCCACGCGGAACACGGTACCGTAATCGTGACAATTTCTTCTGCGACGCAATTCACATTGGAGTTCTTCACGTCACCTCCGCCACCCAACTGTACAAAACACTCAAGTTTCTGGTGTTCTATCGAAATTCTCCGCTTCACTTTCATTTCTTTGTCAACGAAACCGGCGCGAAAATTGTTAACACTCTGTTCGAAACGTGGCATTTGCCTCAAGGTGATTCTGGTAGGTCTTCGGCAAAACAACTTTTTCTTTGATTTTCAGTGCAGATCAGCACTTACGAGTCCAAGGATTCAAAATCTACTGACACCCTCGACGAAAAATTGCAAAGCCTCCGACGTCCTGAATTGCTAAATCACACAGATAGGTTAATAGTAATGGGGTCGAATCTGCTAGTCATGGGTGATTTGCAGCAATTTTGGGATTTGTTCGACCACTTTCAAATGTCGCAGGTAGGTCTGAGTGGTCTATCTATTCGCTTCGCTAGCGTAATTTTCTAGGTACTAGGAGCTGTTAAACGTGGCGACAACAAAGCGGAGACTGACATCTTCCTGTTGGATCTAAGCAAACTGCTCTCCATGACTGGGCCGCTTAATTCCGCTACTGGAGTGCACTTCGCTGCTGTTAATCCTCAGGTAAAGTTCACTCGCTGAATTGGACGTGCCAAATTTCAATTTTAGTACTTACGGTGGACTTATGTGGAAAACATCGTGGACAAGGACGAACTAAACTCGGTGAGGGCCATTCTGTCAAACATGGGTCAAGATATTCCACCCAGACGTATATCTCGCTGTACAGATCTGCATGAATCGAACAGCACGGTAGCTACAAAAGCATTTCGCCAACTTTCAACTGTGTGTACCCCACTTAGGATGCGCCAACTCTTCCGGCATGTTCCTCACTTCCTGAATCACAGATGTTCAAGCGCAGAACCCTTCTGTTCATCAGGCGTTTCAGTTACGCCCCCAAAGAACACGACGTGACCCTCGTTACTCAGTTTCCCTACGAGAAACTTGATGTTTTCGAAGCGATGTGTCGCAGATGGCTTGGACCGATAAGTGCGACAGTCTACCTTTCGGAGGCCGACTTGGAGAAGACCATCGATTTCATTGAGAAGTCTTCAGATTTAAAACGTCGCTATAACGTAGCGTACCACGCCGTTTTTAAAAGAGGGGAATTTCGGCCAATGAATTACCTAAGAAATGTTGCTCTACGCAACGTCGTCACGTCGCACGTCTTCTTAGCGGATATCGATTATTTGCCGATGTCAAAATTGCACAAAACGCTATTGCCGTACCTTGCAAAGATGGCGACGCACAAGAAGGTGCCGCCAACAGTGGCAGTTTTTGTGACTGACGGCCTTCTGTTTTAGGCATTGGTAATTCCGGCGTTTGCAACCAATGGGTCCAAACCGGTGAGCCCACTTACAGTAGATGAGTTAAAAGAGGCTTGGGATAAGAGGTTTATTATCCCGCTCCCAGAGAAAACGCTCGGTTCTGAGCACCTTCCCACCGATTACAAGAGGTTGAGAAATGCGACAGAACCATATACGGTAAGCATAGTCGCACTTTAACATTGGAAAGCATAACCTTTCAGATACAATGGAAACCTAACCATGATCCTTGCATAGTCGTCCAAAGTAACGTTGTTGAATATGACGAAAGGTTTTTCGGATATGGTCACGGCAGAGTATCGCACATTTTAGAATTGCATACCCAAAATTATGAGTTTATCGTGTTACCCAATACTTTTGTGGTATATCTTGATCACCTAAAAGGTCGAGATTACGAACAGTTCGCAAAAGATGACTATCGATCGTAAGTAAACCTCGAACTTACCCGATCTACTATTACGTTGTAGATGTCTCCAAGCGATAATTGAACAAAACGTCGATGATCTCAACCGAAAGTATGGCACTAAGTATAACATTACGAACCTGTATGGAGAACCTACGAAATCAAGTGTTGTAAATACTACATAAGGCCGCCACTAAACCTGCAGGTGCAATAAAATGCCTACCTACGTTACCTTTTATATTCAACACAGTATTTTTTGAAGCGGTTAATTGAGGCACGCGGATGATATCCTCGCTTTCGTTGTAACTTTGTACTTTAAATTGTTTACATATTTCGTATATATGGGTAAAATTGCATGTATACCATTTCGTACGAATAGTAGGCCAAGGCCGTTACCAAGGTAGCAGCGAACTTGACTGTTTCGGCGGTTCCGATTTGGCCGAGACAAAAATCCGGTGTAAACAAACAATGTGTGTTCTACTATTGGGTTTAAAGGAGACGCCGGTCGCAGAAAATTCGTTGGTTCCGTTTTTGGCTTAATATAAATAGTGAAGCGCACGAGTTAGGAAAACTGCAGAAAAACCTAATACGGAGTAGCCGGCAGAATGCTCGAAACTGATCTAATGAAATTCCCATCTCTGCCACAGATGAAAAATTCTCCTCAACAGGGCCGTAACCAGATAGAACCGCGCCCTTGGCGGCACTTCAAGTTTGCGCCCCCCCCCCCACACCTGAGCGTGGGGGTATTAAATACCTCCCGATCCTTCTCCGAAAATTTTCTTCAGTCCAAGGTTTGAAGCTTTTTGATCCGAGAATGTCGCTTCTTTAAAACATGGAGAAAAGATTACAAAATACAGTGTGTCCAAGATACGAATGAACATCATGGACACATCGGAAACTATAAGAAGTACACAGTCGGTTAAATTAGAAGAGTTGCGCATTTTAGGGCTTAATCAAACGATGTTTTAAAAATGCGGAAATTCCGATCAGTTCCGAAGATATTAAAAAAAACCGAAAGTAACTTTTTAAGCTCACCATTTTACAAGATTTTCGCTGCGGCGTTTCGTCTTTGAGAAACCATCATCAACTTCATATTTTTATATGGAAAGGAAAAAAGTAGGTACATAATGTATTGAGTAGCATTTTTTATTACGAATACAATTATGTATGGTACAATATGTCATTTAGAAGAACAAATTATTTTGACATTTTGTCAACGCCTACTAAACTAAAATGTAAAAATTTAGTATTGGACACACTGTATTTATTACATTACCATAAGGAGGCAAAAGGGGGGAAGGGCAGAGATGATCACTTTGTAACGACCCAGCTATTCACAGTCACAGTACGTACTGTACTAACAATCTGGAATAACATTTGTTTAAATAACCTGAATTTTTTTCCTAATACACTAATGTAAAAAGAAATTTTTTCAATGCCAATTTTGCGCCTCCCCGGTAGCTGCGCCCTTGGCGGCCGCCCATCTCGCCACCGCCTAGATACGGCCCAGGTTCGAACACCCAACCTTCCAGCTATGTAGCCCAAGGTTCTACCACTGAGCCACACAGACGGATGTTGCTACTAGAACAGTTCTAACGAAGAGGTTGGCGATTTCTTTGAGGTTGCGCTCAGAACAAGGATTGCCGGCTGGACAAGGACGACGAAATTGCTTGAACGATGCAGACGACGATTACGCGCCTCCACGGCGATAGATAAATTAAATTTCACGAGGTAACATGGTACTTTTTAGCAACCACAGTGGTCACATAAGGCCAAACCTGGACGGTTCAAGGTCGCTCGCCACATGGTAGTGTCCTTGGAACGTAGATCAGGGTGAAGCTCAAGAGCATACGCTATCAAAGGTCAAAGACCACATTTCTGTGTTATCATATTTCACTTTCAAGGTTACCAAAGATCAACGACCCTATTTTTTGCAGCCGCACATTTTACTTCCAAGATCATGACCCCATTTTTGCAATGTTATCTATTTTTATTTTTATTTGTGAAATCTTATTTCATTTTCATGGTCAATGTCCCCATTTTTGTGGTGTCATATTTTTGAAAACATTGATAACATCAATGACTTCAATTTCTTTGCGGTGGCATATTCTACTTTCAGGGTCATTAAAGGTCAGTGACTCTTTTTTTTGTAGATATATTTCATTTTCAAGGCAATCATAGATCAATGACCTCATTTTATGGCTTTCTAGTTCATTTTTAATGTCCAGAGGTCAAAAGTCCCAATGTTATACTTCATGTTCAAGGTTATCAAAGTTCAATGATCCCCATTTTTTCCGGTGTCATATTTCACTATCAACAAAAGGTTTGTGATGCCATATTTCATTTTCCAGATTATCAAAATTCAATGACCTACATGTTTGTGGTGTCATATCCATTTTCAAGGTTATATATGGTTCTGTACTAATTCAGGGTAAAGTTTAAAGGCCACCTGCCACGTGACGTCTGCTAGAGATCACCTTGAAAAGTAAGCTAAGCTGAGGCACCTGACGATGACCTTGCAAAGTGAGTCGAGGTGACACTCCAAGGTCGGTTCGGTTGTTCACTCCTAAACATTTCCCCACTCTCGACTGCCACATGATGACCTCGGAAAATGAGTGAAAGCCTTGTTCGGGGAGGTTGTTGACCCCTAACCCTCTCCCTATTGTCAAATGTCAGGCGGAAGGTAGGTCAACGCACCATTCAGTCGTTCAAGCCTAGCATTAGGTGGAAAGTAGATAAAAACTCAGCTCGGTCGTTCACCACGGAAAATGGATTCAATATTGTTTTCGTTGATTTACTGGACGAATTCGAAACGAAATGTACTATTAATAATAGATTCTTCTTGAGGAAGCACGACATGAAAAACAAGATAAATCAAATTGGTACAAAAATGTATATAGATCAATTTAGACAAAACCATTGAATAAAAACACTTTTTATTCAATGACAAAACAAAACAACTCGCAAAATGATAAATGGCATGCACATAAAAAACATCACAAGGGCATGACTGTACTCCATCATGGGCTACTATTACTATAATACGCACAAGTAGCATCCATGTAAACTCGACTATTTTACATCCAGATCCTAAATACTAAACCGAAAAAGTTAATTCGAGGGCCCCCCTTCTCGTATTGCTAAGACACAAAAGCTGCAATCCGCATGAGATGAGGAAGCAACAATACACCGAATAATCGGAACTGTATGTCGTATTTCCTTCAAGGAATAAACTCAGTCTTAGTCAAACATACAGGCCATATCACACCGATAATGTGCTTTGCGTTTTGTTTTTCTATTTTCCTGACCCGGATCAGATGTAATGCTGAGCCGGTATCACTACAGCAGTAATCGACGTCAAAACGCTAAAGCACTAACAAAGCACTAGCTAAAAGTATAGGTTCACCTGGTGGTGCTTTCAAAAAGTGTGGGCGGTCACTAAATCAAGGGCTCCCTACATTTCAAAAACGACCTTGTGCGCTCATACAAAACATAAAGCACTAAGAGGCACTAATAAGGCCCTAACGATTGCTACCGGTTAGATCGTGAGTGCTTTCAAAACGTTGGGGCGGTCAGCACTGCATCAATATTTCGGAAACGACTTTGTGCGGTCATGCAAGACATATGCAGCACTAAAAGCACTATTAAAGGTCTAATACAATGGACGGCGATCCGACAGGTGGTATGGGCTTGTTGTTTGTAAACAACATTTTCGCCGCGAATGAGGTGGTTCCCGCACGACGGTTCATTGTTACCTGTCCCAGGGGTGAGACTCTGCTAGCACAAGGAGTCTTTAGTTTAGAATCTATAATAATAATAACATAATAAAAATGAATTTATTAGACAATTGCTAAATGGCGGAGTTTAGACAGGGATATCATCCGTGTCTGCTTTTCTACTCAACCCTTAATTTATTTAATGTTAGTATATTTAACTAGGCAGGTCATGATATACTGACGATGTACCAATTTGAAAGTGAATCGAGTTTATCCTGCCGCTTTTGAGACTTGAAAATATATTCCATTAATCCTACTCTACCTTAAGAACATGAGGCTGTCTTGATTTAGCAGTTAACTTAATTTTCTAATTACAAACAAAGATCACAATTAATCATTCAATTTCTACCGCAGTCGTACAACTTCACAACAACTCGCCGACATTCCCTTACGTCGATTATGCTTTCAAACAGAATGCCAACTTTCTTATTAACGAGCTACTAGCCAGTTCATAATTTTGCGGTGTCTGTCCGTCTGTCCATTAACACGATATTTTGAAAACGTTTGTAGGTGGATTCTTTATTAAATGTGTAGACCGCGGAGTTCGTAAATTGGTAATGTAGGCCCTTTTGACAACTCCGTTAGTACCTATATGAATTAAATTGCATGCAAGCTATAGCCTAGGAACTCGTTTGCTATATTTGTTTAATTTATTTCTTTTACAAGTGAAGCTCAAAAATTAAAATTGCTTGTAAGTGAAAGCTCTTAAATAGCTCGTAATTCGTGGATAAAAGATATTGGAGACCGAGTAACTAATTTTCCCTCTCCAACACGTTGAAAATACAGGCATGTTGCTGGTTTTCTAATTATGCCTTGTTGACATTGTAACTATTATATTATGAAATGGTATAAGTGTGTTATGAGCATTTGTTATTATAAAGTAGGTACTTAACAATGACATTGACTGCTAAATTAAGTAGACAATTATAGCCATGCTTCGATAAAGGAATTGTTTCGCAATATCACAATCGACAGTTATTAAAACTGCAGCAATCAAATTAATATCATGTTCATATTCATGTTATTACCTACACAAAGAGAATTAATAATTGCTGATTGCCTTTTCGATGGATTTGCTGGTTTTTTGTAGGTAATTACTTTCTGTGTGCAATTTAGGAGAGCACAAAGTCTCTCAACTTGTCCTGGTACGTAAAAAACTGATGGTAGCGCAAAGTACTCTTCTCTGACTTTTGCATATGAAAATTCAATATCAGCTGCAAATTTACCATTCAATTACCAAAGAAAATACAACCCGTTTGAATATTACTTTTCCGTACCCAAATATGAGCAGGTAAAGTATTGTAGCGTACATTCCAGAAATTCTGACAGACATCGAGGCGCCATATAGTCATCGGTGATAAGAGCGAAGGCGGATGTGACACAAGCCTTCCGGGTGTTTATTGTAGAACATTCCGAATCGTCCAAGCAAATTGTAGCATATTTCAGTGAGTTCCAACTTTGATGCACTTGAGTTATGTTATAAATTGTAAGTGATAAATCATAATTACTGTTATAAATTAATCGATCTTCTTCTTGCAATCGTTGTAATTTTCTTGTAATTTTCTCGGAAATATTATGTACTGAAAATGGGGTGGTTATAAATATCTTGTGTGTCTGTAAACATAGTAAGTCAAATTGGATTAAGAAATTCACCCCCAAAAGCGTTTGGCTTAGGGAGAAGCTTCGGCATAGCCTCGGTCTCTAGGTAAACTGACCTCTACGATAGTAACTCCACGACAAGAAGGGTCTTACGGGATTTATGCTAATGTTCTATTACTATTGTGGTTTCATTTAGTTGCAGTTATTAAGATAAACGTGACTTACCGCATCTCAGACAACCTCCACGTATACGTTGTTCTCGACGTTCTCTATAGCCCTCATTGATGGTAGAGCAGCTGGCGACCTTCGGGGCGCTGGCAAGGGCGGCAAAGATGTCGAAGATATTGCGTTACGCCTACTTCGGTACCTCTGAAAAGCGGTAAATACCTAGGAGGAAGTTACTCGTAACAGGTACCTTACCACCGAGCAGGGCGGCGGGGAGTCGGCGGACGATCCCGGCATCGCACACCACAGCCAGCACGAGCAGCAACTTCCCATGGAGTGGCAAGAGGGACACCCTGTATTTAACATTAACAATTAATCAAACAGTGTTACGTTTAAATTTCAAATACGCATTTTTTCCGGTAGTCAGCCGGTGTTTCGAAGTCCGCAGTTACTCAGTTAAATTAAGAGAAAATTATACAGGATCACCTGAGCGAGTGGTGACGCGGTCGTTTTTACGACTGTCTCATTGACGATAAGGATGTCCACGTACGTACCAGTCGATTATTAAATCTTTAAGTGCGATCACGCGTTTTCGTTTTATTTGAGAAATATCTTAGTGGCGATTCTTCAATTTTGAAGTGTCTTGATTGAAATTAAAATTTGTATCCGAGCTGCCAGTTCAATAATGTCAATCGTCATGAAACCAGTGTTGGTGTTTAAAAAAAAGTTGTGTACAGCGTTGTGCCATTTTTTAAAAACAATTTTGTGAAAAGTGTTTGTCTTCGTCGTTTATCGCATCTGTACATGACAACAAAGTAGTGAGTACATTTGAGACTTAAGACACTGTTAGCCTTCAGAAAACTTGTTTTTCTTTCAGCATTGTCTATTTTACTGTTTGTATGTTCAGGACCGGATTTACAGCATGCGGGGCCCCCAAGCACGAGATAGGGATGGGCCCTTCACTCTATACAAGGACGTGTATAAAGGAGTTAGTAAACGTTACTTCAAGAATAACGTATGCTAAACCATTTTACAACCTTATCTGCGCTACATGGCCCCCCTCGGGTGGGGGGGCCCACAAGCTTTCCAGGGTTTCGGAACCCAGCTGGTCCCTGAGATTCAATTTTTCTTTGATACTGGATATGCCTGGCGTAGCCGCCACTCTCAGAATTTAGTCAACTGTCGTGGGGATATGTGTCTGATAGGAACTAACAGGGGTGCATCTCCACCACTTTGTTGCCATTGCGCTGGACCGCGACATATGCGTCTTTGTAGATTGTGGAGGCTAGCGTGGGGGGGGGGGCTAACTGGGTGTTGTCCGACCCAAAAGAGTACGACCACAGCTTCGCCACTGGAATATATTACCACAAAAGATTTTAATGGAAAATGGTAATATAAGGGGTTTTGTGACAAGTTTTAATGTTTGTAATTTGAGCTAGCTAGGTAAGTGTTAATTGACTAATGCAATAAACTAATACCATTACACACAGTAGATAATACATTCAATCGTTATTTGTTTTTATATCTATTAGGACTAAAAGAAATTTAGCGAGGAGGGTGTCATTATAAACCATCTACCTAAGTTAATATGGGGAGTAACAATCTGGAAAAAAAACTTTCCTACATTCGGTTTTAGAATATTCAACCGGTACAGATATAACGGCACTTACCTACAACGAATTAAAAACTTAGGTACAAATGGACTTTCAGGAGCGCGCTTTTCTAACTGAACTGTACGAAGCACTTCACAATACAAGAGAAACTGAGCGTGGGTACATCTGATTACCTCGAATGCGCTTATGCAGATCTACTATTCGTTACCAGGACAACTAAATTGGATGCATTATTTGCACCAAGCAAAGTTATTTAAACGCCTCTGCACTGCTTTACACATAAAATTGATTTTTTTAATTCAACGTTTTGGCCAATTTGATCTAGTTGGTGGTGATACTTTTACAAAAAAAATGTAAAAGCACTCCTTATATTCGCGTGATACAGAAGCTCCCAGAATTTCTCTTATGGTTAGAAAAACATATCTTCGTATTATGTTCTCCTGATCACCATTATGAAGCTTCCTGACACAAAAGTTTACAGAAATACAAATTCTTCTCTCTCACTGTATTCTCCTGGTTCTCGTCGGTTTAAACGATAATATACAGTCGTTCGTTTATGCTCTCCTCGTAGCCAGAGAACATTTACAATTACCAAATACATTATTCAAAGATGCCTCTTCTCTCATTATACCTATTCTTCTCATACGATTGACAATAAATCGCTTAAACATTGCTCAAAAAAGGCCTCTACATTTTATTATGTACACCTGATGGTGGTTAGAGAAAATTTTCAAATACTTTCCTACAGATATACTCGGATACTCGATGTATTAGGAACAGAGATAATATTCTCCTGATACAAAGATATAGCAAACTGTTGAAACAAGGCTGGAAAAACCCTTTATTACATTCTCCTGCTAATCACAGTAAATTTACAAAAAATTTTTGACAGCCACTACCTCGCGCTTATATCCTTCTGATACAAAAATTTACGAAAGTTTAAGTGGTAATAATGTTTCTCATGCGGCTAGAAGGAAACCGCCTTGTTTATTATGTTCTCCTGGTAGACAGAGAAAAGGTTTACAACATTTTTCTATCATCATTATCTCACCATTCTAACGTACCTATCACTATATTCTCTTGAAACAAAAGTTCACAAAATTTTCAGCGAAAGTGAATTATTGAAACTAGAAAAAGCTCCTCGTTTATTCTGTTCTCCAGGTACCCCCTAACCACAGAAAATGTCTAAAATTTTGTTGACAGATAGGTATCCTCCTTGGCTATTATGTTCTCTTAATTCAAAAGTTCAGGGAAGACCTCTTCCCTTCGAAACGGGGGTGGCAAGTGCACAAACTATGTTCCAGTAGTGTAGTGCGTAGCTTTTAAAAAATTTTTTTAAAAATGAAAATTCTCTCCACAAGGGGATAGCGTAAAATACAAATATTTAAAACACTCCCCCACATACTCAAAATTATAACTTACGTTACACATAAATCTTATTGAGATTCCCCAGTCTAACAGATCTCCAATCAAGAATAATCGACTAAATTGATTACTGATTCTTATAAGATTCCCAAAATAAATTGATATTACGGCAAAAACATCACACGTGTAGAACCAAGTACAAGTAAAACATTAAGGCAACTCTTACCTTGCAAGAAGTGAGCTCACTCGCATCCAAAACCTCCCAAGCCGAAGAGCTCGGTATATAATTAATTTATTAATGCCTAAATGGTTTCGCTCTACCCTGACGATACTCGATCGTAATTTAACCGAGATGGCAAAGATGTTAAAAAGGTACTAATGTTAACAAATTACTGGGATAATCTCTGATTATATTCCTTTTATACAGAAGTCACATTTTGAAAGGTAAATTTGTACACCCATCAATTAATTCAGCGTTGCCAATTCCACAATAATACGATTTGTAGTAATAGGTGGCATTGGCGCATGCTGGATTAACTAAAGCGCTACATTATCCACGGCCACTAGCCATAACATAACCTCAAAAATATTTACATGTAAAATGTTTAAACTTTTACAAAAAGTAGCAAGAAGTAGCTTTACAAAATCTGCTAATAGTTTCAGGAATGCCGAATTTCATCAGGCACCTCTACTTGTATGCCACTGTGATGGCTCTTCGTTTCGGCCCAACTTACCAATGTACAACGTCTTGAGGGGTTATGCAAAGAATAAAGATAAGAAGAAAGACAAAAGTACTGTAATGAGTAGTTCCTAGACAATAAGGTCCATATGTTTCAGATAAAGCAAAAGTCGAGGTAAACGAAGCCCAGCTAGCGGAAGCTGTTAACCTAGGTGCATTACGAAAAGACATGGAGAGAGCTATTGGTACTCTTAAGGAAGAGTTTGTAAAGAATTTGTCAATTCGGTCTTCTGCAGGTATGGGTTTTTTTGCACAGACAATTTGGTTATGTTTTCTTCTTAGGATCAATCGAATCCATCATCGTGAATGTCGACGGCAAAGACCACACATTGCAAGAGCTAGCACAGATAGCTAGAAAAAATCCCAAAACCGTAGTGGTGAACATGGCGATATTTCCGCAAGCCATTCCGGCCGCGCTTAAAGCCATCGCGAAGTCCGGCATGAACTTAAATCCTCAGCAAGACGGCACAACGCTTTACATACCGGTTCCCACGTAAGTAAAGCCGAAGCGGCGGCCGATGACCAGCCGTGTCGTTTACAGGGTCACGAAGGAGCATCGCGAAAATCTGGCCAAGGGCGCCAAGAGTTTGTTCGTGAAGTGTAAAGATGGCATTAGAGACGTGCAAAATAAGCAATTTAAAAGTTTGAAGCGAAAGGAGGGACTTTCAATAGACACAGAAAGAAACCTAGAGCAACAAATTACCGCGATAGCCGACAGCTACATCCACGAAGCTGAACGAATACTACAAGCTAAACAAAATGAACTGATTGGGAATAATTAAAACCTTCAATGAGCGTTTTATTTATCATTACTGGGCCCGAGACTGGGCCATTAAAACCGTTACTTTCTCTTTAAGGCCAACAGACAGCTTCCAAAAGCATCAAAGACTTTAGAAGAGTCTTCCGGAAGCTTGAATTATTTTCTTTTTTCTGGGAGTCAAGTCAAAAACTTTCAGTTTCAGATTTTTTAAATAAATCACCCTGTATATTTTAATGTAAAAAAAAACATTACATTATCCTTTCAAAAATATAACGCACCAGGGATGATCAAAAAGATAAAAAATTTAAAACCGTTCAAATAATCAAAAAAAATTTCCTTTATTGAACTTTTTGAATCTAGACTTTAATATGCTATTTTTTAGCGCATTTTTTAAGAATTAAAACAATGTGCTTTGTCCGTCCGTCTGGACCCACTTCTACCGTTTTGAACTACTAGGGGAATGGTTCTAGAGTCCTGGAATTTTTTGCAGTAGGTAGCCTATACCTTGATGGTGTGCCAGACGGCTATTAAATTTCGCTGGCTAAAAGGGGGACCCAGAGCTGGGCAGTATTCGATTTTGTAAATGCTTTTTAGTATTCAAATCCTTTAAAGTATTCAAATACTTTGTAATTAAATACTTTTATGGAAGCAGTATTTGTATTTGTAACTCAAATACTTTCACAAATATTTAGTATTCGAATACTTCGCAAAGTATTTGGATCCTTCGTAAAGTATTCGAATACTTCGCATAGTATTTGAATACTTAACCTTCCTTTTTTACCAAAAATCGACTGCACCAAAATTTCTCGGGAAAACACTTTTTCTTATTAATTTTGGTGCGTAGAATCCAAAACAATTCGTACTTTTTCGATTAGACTTCTCAATCAAAAGTTATAGACTAGAAACTTATTTCGAAAAAAAATTCAAAGGGCTGTAACTTTTGAATTAGTAGCCCAATGTTGGAACTGTTTGAAATTATGGATTCTACAGGCCCCATTCTATAAGAAAAATTTTTCCGGGTCGATCTGAGACAATTTTTTTTCTTCAGCGCTCAAAAAAAGGCAGTGTATAACCTTCCTTTTTTACCAAAAATCGACTACACCAAAATTTCTCGGGAGAACACTGTTTCTTATTAATTTTGAACTGCAGGACCAAGGTACAAGAACAAACATTTGTTTGTCAAAATGATGAAATGGAAGCATTAATTCAATTTCGAATGGATTTTTGGGAATCCATCGGAATAAACGAATCCGAAATAAACAAATAAATCAATAAACGTTTTATTTACCATTCAAGCTTGAGTGCCGTGACTGTTTCAAGTCGAAACAGTCACGGCACAACACCTTGATCATTGAAAGTACAAACGACACGTAGAAAACCGGAAATTATGCTTAACAAAATTACTCCGTATCCATGGCGACTGCCGGAATAGGATCTCGGGGTTCGTCCTCTTCCCCCGTCGGTTCTGGACGTATCACCTCGTCACCGGTACCGCCGCTTCCCCCGCCGACTCTCCTTTCTTCGCCTTCGATCATGGATAGGAAAATTCCAATTTCGTCGTCGTCCAAGATTTTGAAATCTTGCCCTTTGCCAACGTAACCGATCGAGACGTTCTTCGTGCTGAGCTCGACTTCGTTGGGTAGGGTGTCGCGGACCGCTCGCAGACCGTGCTTGACCAGCTCGTCGAGGGGACAGTCGGCGAATTCGTCCAGGTGCTTCTCGAGGTACGTCCTGGCACTTTGCGAGCGCGCACCAATTGCCATCGCCTTGCAGTCGAAGAAGTTCGCGGACGGACACGTCTGATAAATGTGGGGGCCTTGGTCGTCGTAGCCGGCGACTAGGAGACCGACACCGTACGGCCGCCGATCGTATCGCTGCGTACACAGCTGCATTTTGTTGCCGAGCTGGCCGATTAGGCGAGCGATTGGCAGCAGGGTGTCAAGGGAGTACTTGTAATTCAGGCATTCCGTACGCATGTAACGGCTTAAAATTCTCGCATCTGCAGTGAGCCCAGAAATCGAAATACCGATGTGCTTGTCGATCGGTATGATCTTCTTCTGGTAGGCCGCTAGTTCCGACGAAGCTCTTTTCAGACAAAGAATGACCGAGTGAGTTGCACTTTTTAGACCTACAGTCGCCGAGCCCAATTTCACAGCCTCCATGGCGTACTCCACCTGGTGCAGTCGGCCCTGGGGGCTCCATACAGTTACATCACTGTCGTATTGATTCCTAAACATTTTAACACTTTGGATGCAAAACGTAACGGCACAAAATAGGTTATGTTTGCCTCAAAAATTGTGATTTGTAATCCAGTTCCAGTCATCCTGTTTTCCCACCATTTGAAACATGCTAATTCCTTATGACCAGCAGAGATGGCGCGACCATTATTTTTTCGAATAACGCTGCGTTTAGAAATTGTTAGACCACCAACAATGCACATTCATTCTATCCAGTTTTCCAAATTTTATTTTTCCCACGTGCGCTGCACCCAGTTCGACGACGTGATGCGATGTCGAGCTGTAAAGCGCTGTCATAAAGATTTCTTGTTTTTAAATGAATGCGTTCTCACCTGTTTTCCTTTTCACACAGTATACGACGCGTTTCCGACTAGCAAAGAATCAGTTACTCTTTGGTACTAGTTTCTGTCCTCCTCTGGTGATGTCGAGGATTTAGACTCCTTGCTGGAGCTAAGAGCCACCACACGAGCCAGAAGGTCTTCAACATATTGGTCGACCCCTAATGGTGCTGGTAGCAAGCCCGGCCCCCTCTTCGATGTCGATAGCTAGAGATTTGATCCCTTCGCCACTGCTCCTGTGGAGCGCTCCTCCTTACTAGGTGCCGCGTACTGCAACTTGCAACTGGGGACGCTTCAAGATGGCGGGCGTGCCATCAGGGAACTTGTATCAGCCTAGTGGACGTACATCTGAATTTTCAGAGACGCGCCATCTCGGAGATTAATAAGCAGGACGATCCTCTCCAACCAGTTCAAGGACTACTGCAGGTCTTGGCATTCGACTACAATGACTCTGAGCATTCCAGCGCCTTCTCCATTGCGTCAGCAACTGCAGACGATGCAGTCATGACGCACCTCGACTGAAACTCGGTGAGGCCCACGCCGGAACAATGGTGACCAAGAGCCCCGCCGAGCGGTTTGGGCTCCACCGAGGGGTGTAGGTTTTGTCTGCTCATCAGGATTTTTACTACACGATTAGTCGATTTCTTGTCAAGGAATCTGGTTGAATAGAAAAAGAGTGATATTGAGAATGTTGTAGGTCTCAGAAAGGGCGTGATTTAAAAAATAAAAGTATTAGGAACTAGTTGTTGGTAGAAAACCGTCAGGCAATGCGTGTTAATCCACGATAGCGCTCGCGGCGAGCGGTTAAAAGAAAGGATTTAACTTTGACGCTTTTATAAAATATGATATGCCGGCCTTCAACAAATTTCTAAGGTCACCGCAAGGTGGTGAGCGACCTTGAACGGTCCCGGTTCGGCAATCTATGTCGGCTAGTGGGAAAGACAAATTTTAAAAGCAGCACTATGGCTACAAAAACAAAATGTGCGCAGATTTAAGTGGTACAGGAGGTAGTCTAAATATGGGCCCTGGGCAAAATTCGTTAGGAATCTGCATTTCTTCTAAGCTCATTTTTCTTCTCACATTGGAAGATTGATGGGTTGTGATTTACTGCTGGCCTCAAAACCTCTTAAAGGCAAGATGGTCGCTGCTTGAAAGTCGCAAGTCCTTTGGAATTATAGCCTACCTCTCCTGGTGGATCTTACCAAAGTATTTTGGAATCCAGAATAGAACGCTCAGCTCAAATTTTCAATGTACTGAGATTGATTTGAAATATTGCCCGGGTTCATATTCAAACTGCGGTATTATGTAAATATTTTTGTTGTTACAGTACCAAGAATTCGTCAAAGAACAGCAAATTTGTGCGTAAACAGCGGAACAAGCAGTTCAGGCTGTTTCGGATGGAACACTGTAACGGGAACCCTTGAATAGGGTTTGTTTATTTACTAATATTTGTAGGATTTATATTCGAATTTCGTTAGGGCTGCATAGTGATAGATATTGAATTTTAGTTATGAATATGCCAAATGTTTAACAGTCAGTAGGTTTTTAATACGCTTGGCGATCTGTATTTTTGTGGGTGACTGGGTTCTGTGTGGCCTGTAGAATCCATAATTTCAAACAGTTCCAACATTGGGCTACTAATTCAAAAGTTACAGCCCTTTGAATTTTTTTTCGAAATTGTTTTCTAGTCTAACTTTTGATTGAGAAGTCTGATCGAAAAAGTACAAATTGATTTGGATTCTACGCACCCAAATTAATAAGAAAAAGTGTTTTCCCGAGAAATTTTGGTGTAGTCGATTTTTGGTAAAAAAGGAAGGTTATACACTGCCTTTTTTTGAGCCCCTAAAAAAAAATTGTCTCAGATCGACCCGGAAAAAAAAATTTTTTATTATACCTGAATCACAATCTCCGTTTTAAACACTCAAATGCGTGCGAAAAAGGGCCTTTAAGCAAACGTCAAGTGACATTTCCATGGCAATCGTGAAATTACGAACACCCAGCCCACTTAATTAGACATGTATATTTGAGTATAACGTCAATATGACTTCATTGTATTTCCTATTTTTAAATTATACTGCAGGTATAATAAAAAATACTATAAGATACACGTGTATAATTGGTCTTTAAAGCACTTGCAACGTTAAAGGCACTCCGCTTTGCGTCGTGCCCTTAAACTCGTTGCGCGTGCTTTAAAGACTTGATTATACACTTGTATCTTAATATACTAGTTCAAAAGTTACAGCCCTTTGAATTTTTTTTCGAAATTGTTTTCTAGTCAATAACTTTTGATTGAGAAGTCTGATCGAAAAAGTACAAATTGATTTGGATTCTACGCACCCAAATTAATAAGAAAAAGTGTTTTCCCGAGAAGTTTTGGTGTAGTCGATTTTTGGTAAAAAAGGAAGGTTATACACTGCCTTTTTTTGAGCCCCGAAGAAAAAATTGTGACAGATCGACCCAGAAAAAAAAATTTTCTTATAGAATGTGACCTGTAGAATCCATAATTTCAAACAGTTCCAAGATTGGGCTACTAGTTCAAAAGTTACAGCCCTTTGAATTTTTTTTCGAAATTGGTTTCTAGTCTATAACTTTTGATTGAGAAGTCTGATCGAAAAAGTACGAATTGTTTTGGATTCTACGCACCAAAATTAATAAGAAAAAGTGTTTTCCCGAAAAATTTTGGTGTAGTCGATTTTTGGTAAAAAAGGAAGGTTATACACTGCCTTTTTTTGAGCCCGGAAAAAAAATTGTCTCAGATCGACCCGGAAAAAAATTTTCTTATAGAATGTGGCCTGTAGAATCCATAATTTCAAACAGTTCCAAGATTGGGCTACTAGTTCAAAAGTTACAGCCCTTTGAATTTTTTTTCGAAATTGGTTTCTAGTCTATAACTTTTGATTGAGAAGTCTGATCGAAAAAGTACGAATTGTTTTGGATTCTACGCACCAAAATTAATAAGAAAAAGTGTTTTTCCCGAGAAATTTTGGAGCAGTCGATTTTTGGTAAAAAGGAAGGTTATACATTGCCTTTTTTTGAGCCCCTAAAAGAAAATTGCCTCAGATCGACCCGGAAAAGAAATTTTCTTATAGAATGTGGCCTGTAGAATCCATTATTTCAAACAGTTCCAAGATTGGGCTACTAGTTCAAAAGTTACAGCCCTTTGAATTTTTTTTCGAAATTGTTTTCTAGTCTATAACTTTTGATTGAGAAGTGATCGAAAAAGTACGAATTGATTTGGATTCTACGCACCCAAATTAATAAGAAAAAGTGTTTTCCCGAGAAATTTTGGTGTAGTCGATTTTTGGTAAAAACGGAAGGTTATACACTGCCTTTTTTTGAGCCCCTAAAAGAAAATTGTTTCAGATCGACCCGGAAGAAAAATTTGCTTATAGAATGTGACCTGTAGAATCCATAATTTCAAACAGTCCCCAAGATTGGGCTACTAGTTCAAAAGTTACAGCCCTTTGAATTTTTTTTCGAAATTGGTTTCTAGTCTATAACTTTTGATTGAGAAGTCTGATCGAAAAAGTACGAATCGATTTGGATTCTACGCACCCAAATTAATAAGAAAAAGTGTGTTCCCGAGAAATTTTGGTGTAGTCGATTTTTGGTAAAAACGGAAGGTTATACACTGCCTTTTTTTGAGCCCCGAAAAAAAAATTGTCTCAGATCGACCCGGAAAAGAAATTTTCTTATAGAATGTGGCCTGTAGAATCCATAATTTCAAACAGTTCCAAGATTGGGCTACTAGTTCAAAAGTTACAGCCCTTTGAATTTTTTTTCGAAATTGGTTTCTCTTGTTAGTAAAAGATCGCGACATAGGCATTTGGTCAATAGATGTCGTTGATGTAATGGGTATCCTACCCACAATGCAGCACTGTCCGTGTGACTACCTACGAACATATTCTCTTCCATTGATTGCATGATGCTATGTAAACATACTTAGCGATGACGTCATAATACACCGATGCGCAAACTAAGGAAAATCCTACTATAGCGTGAAACTAACTCATAAACTAGTTTACCGTTTAATGGTAAAGTAAATCTTAACTAACAATTGAAATATACCTACATCCGGAACATTGATTGAACTCACATTTTCTTAAAATGAGAAACCAGCGCCTTCTTTTGGCAAAAGTATTGAAAACTAACCAAAGACTAACGGATACATTTATGGGTACGTTGGGACTTGAGACTTTAATTTGTTTCGAGACGTTGGCGTTGCCCCCTCTGGCATACTTTAAATTAGAAAATTGGAAAATTGAGTTTTCTGAGGTGCGTCTTGTACCTCTAAGTATAGGAAAAAAGAGAAAGCAGTCAAGTCAAGTCAGCAGTGAAGGAATAAAGTAGGTAGGCAAAAATATGTTGCTGCCAGCGTCCTAGAAAGCATTTCTCTTCATGCACCTAAATCTGACGCCGGAACTAATCCGCATTTCGCTATAACTTCACAAAGATTCACAAAAGCTGCAAGTTAAAATTGTAACGCGACCTGCAAGAAACCGTACAAAAAAAAACCTTTAAAAAGACAGAATATCTCATATAAGCATTGGATTTTTCTTAATTTTTTACAATAGAACCCACGCGAACGTTCGGGGTGTAGACGATTCGACGCTCCACCCCTTACAACCCTCGAGTTCGCGTAGGAATAAAGAATTATTGCCGGATACGAAGGACCGCCACCAGAGGGCTAGATTTTGCAAGTCAATGCTCGTGTCAAAAGTGAATGGCGGATTCGATTGTTGAT